TCCTGTTTGGCTGTGACTCCATCCTGGAGAGAAATATCAGCTGTGCTGCTGCCATCAACACCTTTGTTTCTAGATGTTGGAGCTTGGCCTGTTTTTGAGTGTAGTCCTGTTTCTCTGGTTTGGCCCATCATGAACATAATCAGACTGATTAGTTCCCCCTGAGGACTCCTCCTCAGGTATCCTTATGCTAAGTTTGAATAGAAATAGAGCTAGACTCCAGCAGGACCCGACCGATCTGAAGTCCTGTATGGTTGATGGCTGAAAGCTTCTATCCATCAGATCTGCTACTAACAGAAACAGGTTTTAGATGGAAAGCAGAGATTTCCAAAATCTGTCCCTGATTTGCAGATTTAATTGAGGATAGTTGGAAGTGAAGACAGAGGATCTATTTGAGGAGGGGAACATCTCTGTGTTTTCTTCCCAACTCAATCTAATGTCAGTGGCCGGCATCACATCCCGATAAAGAAAAAGTTCAGACTGAGACTTTAGTCCTTCTCCTCCAAACTTCATTCTGGTTCAATTCAACGTTTTGAGCTCATATCTTCAGGTAGTGAGACTTTTATTGACTTTTTTAATCAGCTATATAAATGTTCAAAAGGCTGAATGATGAATAAAACAAAAAACTTTTTACTAATTAGGTTTTGCACATATTTATCAGCCACAAACTTTCCCGCAGCTGTAATCTAACCTCTGCAAGAGTTTTTCTGACATTTCCAGCCAGTGTCTGTCTGCTTCTGCCCATTCAGAAAAGCACCGAAAATATGTGAGGGGAGAGGAACATTTCACCCACAGGAGCTGTCATCAGCACCGTTAGCGGAAATGGATCAGATGCACACCTACACTCAGCAGAGAGGCAGCGCAGCTCAAACTCTGCTTCAAGCAACCATCAATCACAACCTTACTTCTCTTTTTGGTTCTAATGTTTACCTTTCACTGCTGTGCTGTTGTGTAACAGCTGCTCGTCTTGGCCAAAAGTAGAGCTCATTCTACACAATAAAAAAGTCAAAGTGAAGAAGTGCTTTAAAGTCTGGGTTCTTTGCCCTCATTGTGTGGATGGAGGAACAGACAGCGAAGAGCAGCAGAAAACCACAAACACCACCAGTTCCTGCTTCCTCTCTGGCATTTATGCTTCGACACAAGCAGTCAGATAACACAGGAAGCAGCGGTACGAGCTTCACAGGCCGGTTCTGCAGAGGTGAATACCTTTTCAAGAACAAAGTATATCTGAGATGCTCATCCGCAACCAAACATCCTGCATAACTCCACAATCAAATGATGTTTCTGTTGAGAAACAACCTGAAATCAGTCCGTAAAAATAAAAACATTTTGACGGACTGACTCTGACCTGCATGACTGAGAATCTTCATCAGCAACCTGAAATCAGGGAATAACTACCAGCTTTGCACTTCAGTATTTCAAACTTTTATTTCTGCTTTTGATAAGTGGAGTAATGTGCAGAAATGTTTCTAACAATGTTAGAAGGAGAAATGAGATCCAAATTAAACGCTTAAAGTGAACATGAACTAGATTTAACTTCCTTTCAGCAAGCCCCCCCCAAACACTCTCCATGTACTTCTGCTTATTGTCTGTGTTTTCAAACCGAAGCACATGACCTGTTTTATGGCAGAAGTCTGCTAACGAGCTGCAGGAAGATCTCTACAGGAATAAACGGGCGTCTGACTAAAGGTTTCACAGTGATGCTTATGAAAGTAACCAGAAACTTTTTCCTACAGGCGATGACACAGATTACCGTAAATCCACACAGAAGTCTTTAAGGCTAGAAAACTGAATAATAACAACAAAAGAGGTTGTAGATCAGAAAATAGATTTTCAGCATCTCTTCCTTCTTTCATTTCTGATTATTATCAACAGGTTAAAGATGGTGTGATCATCTAATAACTCAGATATCCTGTGGAACTATTTCCAACAGAATAGAATCTCTAAAACAGGAATTAATGAGCCAATGTTGATATTTTCTTGTCTAAAGGCTCATTTAAAATGTCCGCCTGCTCAGCATATACAGAAATGATGAAATGTTCATTTCAATGGATGGATGTGAACCTTTGTAGAGATGAACATGCGTCCTTGTTGAGTTGAAAATGTGTGATGATGTCTAAAACACCTGCAGCAGGTAGAGCATTGTAGCTACAGACATGACAACTGACTGTTTTCTCCGCCTCCTATAGGGGGCGGCAGTTAGCCCTGCAACCGATGGTGGTCAGAGGGCCGGTGGCGCATCAGTTAATGACTGAGACTATAGAGTCAAGCACTTTGGTCAAGTCCTCTGACTCTAAAAGACGCTTTATAAGTATCGGCCAATTATTTTTAGAAAGGGACACAGATTCTATTGGCTTTGGCGGTTTGGTGGACGTGTCAATCATAATATTAATTTTAAAAATATTGATACGTCCAGGACAAGTATATTTGTTAGAACAGTAAACTTTGTGGTGTCCATGGTTATAAGGACAGAAATGTACCAGTTTGGTAAGTTTCCCTCTGCAGGGCAGAAAAAATAATAATAAAGAAGTTTGCAAAGATATTATTTACAGTTATATTGTTAATAACTAGTTATACTAGGTTTGTCATCATGTAAAAGTATAAGAACTACTTTAAAATAAACTTTTAACACACTTTGACACAAACCTTTTTTAGATGACAAAGATTTATTACTCACAGTTTTTTTATTCATCATATAACTGTCGGTGTTGTTATGGGTCTGGGTCTGGGTATTGGTCTTTTTCTGGGTCTGGGTATTGGGCTTGTTATTGGTCTGAGTCTTGCTCTTGCTGTGGGTCTGGGTATTGGTCTGAGTCTTAGTCTTGGTATTGGTGTTGGTCTGAGTCCTGGTCTTGTTCTTGGTCTGGGTCTTGGTATTGGTCTGGGTCTTAGTCTTGGTATTGGTGTTGGTCTGAGTCCTGGTCTTGTTCTTGGTCTGGGTTTTGGTACCTGTATTGATCTGGGTATTGGTCTTTTTCTGGGTCTGGGTATTGGTCTGAGTCTTAGTCTTGGTATTGGTCTGAGTCCTGGTCTTGTTCTTGGTCTGGGTCTTGGTATTGGTCTGGGTCTTGGATTTATTCTGGGTCTGGGTATCAATATTGGTCTGTGTTTTGGTCTTGTTCTGGGTCTTGGTATCGGTATTGGTCTCGGTCTTGTTCTGGGTCTTGGTATCAGTATTGATCTGGGTCTTGGTCTTATTCTGGGTCTTGGTATCAGTATTGGTCTGAGTCTTTGTCTTGTTTTGGGTCTGGGTATTGGTCTTGTTATTGTTCTGAGTCATGGTCTTGTTCTGGGTCTAGGTATTGGTCTTGTTAATGGTCTGAGTCTTGGTCTAGGTATTGTTCCTGTTATTGGTCTGAGTCTTGCTCTTATTCTGGGCCTGGGTCTTGGTATCGGTATTGGTCTGGGTCTTGGTCTTGTTCTGGGTCTTGGTATCGAAATTGGACTGGGTCTTGCTATTATTCTGGGTCTGGGTCTTGTTCTTATTCTGGGTCTTGGTATCGATATTGTTCTGGGTCTTGTTCTTATTCTGGGTCTGGGTCTTGGTCTTATTCTGGGTTTGGGTCTTGGTATCTGTATTGGTCTGGGTCTACTTCTTGGTCTGGTTCTTGGTCTTGTTATTATTCTGAGTCTTGTTCTGGGTCTGGGTATTGGTCTTGTTGTTGGTCTGGGTCTTGGTCTTATTCTGGGTCTTGCCCTTGGTATCTGTATTGGTCTGGGTCTACTTCTTGGTCTGGGTTTTGGTCTTGTTATTCGTCTGAGTCTTGGTCTTGTTCTGGGTCTGGGTATTGGTCTTGTTCTGGGTCTGAGTATTGGTCTTGGTCTAGGTCCCGTCTGGTCTTTGTCACAGAGAGTGCAGTATTGTCTACCAAGAACCGGTCTTGACTCCATCCCTTCTTTCATCTAAGTCTCTGATTGTCTTCTCTGTAGTTCTCATGTTCTTATCTGCTTACCTCTGTCACTTTTCTGCTGTTGCATCTGGATTTTCTCCCCATGAGACAAAAAAGTTGTTGTTTTCTAGATGACAGTGTCGCTGAATGTGTCATGATCTTGGCCCTGATAACTGGCTTAATTATTTATTCCATTCACCTGTCCAACTCTGCCCGTTTCTAATGACTGATTATCTGAGAGTGTTTCTGATTTCCTGATCCTAACCTGTTCTGTTCTACCACCGAGGCATCTTTGTACTCCTGGACCTCTGAGCCTTCCTGTTCTGATCTGTTTGCCTGACCTGGCTTCGGACCTGTGTTTACACACAGCCAGTACGGGTGTGTTCATAAACATTATAGGACAGTCCTGTGTACTTGTATAGGACTCAGAGTGAGGACCATTTTCTCCGATTTCACCATCACACTGAAGATCAATCATTGTAAAGTGAGGACATTTTGCTGGTCTTCAAAAGGTATTTTGGGCTAAGGTGTCAGGTGGGTTAGAGTGAGGTATTCATTGGTCATGGTTAGGTTTAGGGTTAGTTTTAGGATTAAGGCAAAGAAAGGGTTGAAAATTACAGAAAATCAATGGAAGTCAATACGTGGTCCTCACAACATATAGCAGAACACATGTGTGTGGGGTGGGTATGGGGTGTATTCAAGGAATATACATTTTCATTTACTGGTTTTAGGTATTTCTTTCAATAAATACATTAAAAAGTGGATAAAATTATGTAATTCACATTTCTCTCAAAAAATGTTCTCTGTACTTCATGATGTTTGGCAAATAGTTACCAAACTATAGTATCAACCAGAGCGAGATAATCATTTTATTCAGGAGGAAAATATGAAATGTTTTTAGAAAATAACAGATAACTGTGAATACCTGCAGAGGAAAGTTCAGCTAAAGTTTACCTGTAGCTGCTGCTGAATAATTTTCATATTGTGTCTCTGTAGGAAGTTCTGTTCCTGTGAGCGGACCTTCTCCAGCTGGGTCTGTAGATTGGTGAACATCACTGAAGCCATTGACTCGTCGTTGACTGCAGATTCCCTAAAAAGATAAACATCTTATCATCGTGTTTTGAAACACATTGCGATTTGGTAAAAAACATCAAGCAGCTTCAAGAGGCGAACTTCTGAACAGACAATGTTTCTACATCCAAGATGTGAAAAAACAGCCCATGTTTCATTTTAAACATCAATGTTTCTAGGAAATGTTTCTAGGAACTTAAGTATGAAAAATAACTTCATGTTGAAAAGCAAAGATGTTTTTCTGGTTCTGCTTGTTTGAACAGAGCAGCTGCTTGGCTTCATGTCAGAAACCTTCACCCAGAGATCAATCTAAACTCTCAGGAAATGTGATCTAGATTCATTTTTCATGTATTTCTTTTGGCCCAGATATGTGGGTGCAGATGGAAACGGAGCATCAGCTGCAGCTTCTACCAGAGCTTCTGTTGCTACTGACAACCAGAACTTGTCCAGCGTGCAGAGAAAGCGGTCTGCAGGGGGATCAGAGGAGGGGTGACGATAGTGAACCACTCCTATCCAGTCATATTTTTTTGGTGCGTGTCATCATTCAGAAAGTACATATCGAAACTTTCAAGCAGGTTCCTGAAGTTGGAGAAAATAATTCCTTTCATTGTTTCAATGGTTAAGTAATAACTCTCTATAATGACATCATCTCCAGGAACATGTCCCTCGTCTACTGGCAGCTCATCGCTTCAGCTTTCTGCTGTGATCTTAGCAAAGAGGTTTGTTACTGTTGCTTTAGTGAAGCCTAGTTACGGCCATACTTCTAATGTCCAGTCAGAAGCTTGGCCGTAACTAGCCCCGCTCCCACAGACTGCCACTCTGGGTCCCTGAGCAAGACCCTTAACCCCACACTGCTCCCCCGGCACTGCACAATGGCAGCCCACTGCTCCCCTAGGGGAGGGGTTAAATACAGAGAGGGAAGTTTGTTGCTTTATACTTGTGACAGTGGATTGACGATAAAACACTGGGGGAAAAAACAAGGAGGTCTGTGTTGAAAGAGCAGCTTCAATAGTGTTGTGCCATGATTGTGGTTTTGGACGTTGGAACCAGGTCCTTGTTTCATCTTGACATGATGACCGGAGAAGAGGATGCAGTTTTGGCTCATAAACTGCTGTAAGACCTCTGTAATCACAACCCCCCCCACCCCCCACCCCAAAGAGATGTGACTTGCCCCCCCACTCTGTGTTTAGGACAGTAAAACCACAGCACACAACATTTCATTCTCTTTTTCCCATAAAGCTGGCAGGGGTTCCGCATCGGAAGAAGTCATCATGGAGATCCAGGCCCAAAAGGCCCAGATCTCCAGAGTGATCAAGTCATGGTGGATACTTTTCAGAACCAAACTGCTGCAAAACAGACATTTTTGCAACACATTTCTCTTGACTTTCAGAACTTATAGAGCCAGACTGGATGAGAAAGTCTCCTGAAGATTCTTTGGTTTGAGCCGCATGGAAAAGAAAACCGCCGTTTGCTGTGAGCCTCCCCGCTAAGCTGCTGCTGGATGAAACTTTCCAAACGGACACGGACAGAGGTTTGCAGGTCTGGCATGATTAGGAACAGAACAGTATGTCCTTTCATGATGTTTGATCATTTCATGTGTTTACTGATGAGTAAAGACAAGGCTAACAGGATGGACTGCATGCTACGCTATGCTACAGGAATATGTGTTAAGCTGTTGCTAAAGCTTAGAAAAGCTTTATTCATTAAGGATTTAAACACTGATATAACATCAGTGTTCATGTGTTCCTCAGATGCTCGTTACATTTCCATTACCAAGTCTGACCGAGAGTCATTTAGTGGAATCCTGATGTCTATTCGCTGCTAGCTATTTCAAAGAGAGTAAAGAATCATTTAACTAAAGGTTACTGGTTCCTGATTAAGCAAATCATTCAATAAAACATAATTTATCCAAATAATGTTTTATTCACCTCATGGATTTGCATTGTGAATTGGTCTGAAAACATTCAAATTTCTCTAAATTAGTGAAAAGCTAATTTGATCAGATCCCAAATTCTTCCAGATAAACTTTGGTTTCAAACACAGAATCCATCTTAAACTGTAATCTGGTTTTCAACCATGTTTCCCTTCCTCTTTGTTCATAGTAGTTAGTTTAGTTTCACTAGTTTTATTCAAGAGTTTTTAGCTGAAATATGTTTGACTTGGAGCTGAATGATTTTTGTTAATAAACTCATATTTTGAACAGAAGTTGTGGTGAATTTATTCCATTAATGTGCAGAAATAACTGTTTGACCATGATTAGAGCTCGAATCACTCTTTCATTTATTGTTCTAACACACAGCTACACTGTAAACCCGAACATTACTACTGACTCAAAAGTATGTGAAGAAAACAATCAAAATCCACTATGAAGTGAACCCAACTTTAAGTTACTAAGTGTTCCGAACGAGGAATGCATTTATAATTTCGTTCTACTTAAACTCTCTGAGTGATCATCATTGCCTTACTCGAAAGCTTTGAATGCACAGAGACGTAGAACGTAATGACGTCAGTGCGTCAAAACGTCGGCGGGAACCAGCCAGGCAAAATCAAACCAACATGGCGGTCGGGAAGCGAGTCGTTGCTGAAGTCAAGAAAAGGTGTAAGTATGATGGTTAAGTCTTCACAAACACATCTGCATGTTGTTTAATTGTGTAAATGCAACAGAGAAGTTGTTTTTTCTGCTTGTCTGCGCCCTTATTTTACACATTCGGCGTAACACGCGGTCCGTGTAACACGCGGTCCGTGTAACA